ACCTGGCTACACCCTCGTTTTAGGGGGTTGTAATGAATGATAGGTTCTCCCTGTCCCTTAGTTTCTCCCTGTCCCTCAGTTTTTCCAGGCTAAACAGCTCCCTCAGTTGCTCCTCATCAGAATTGGGCTCCAGACCTTTCTTGAGCTCCAGACTTGAGCTCTGTTACCCTTCTGTGGACATGCTCCAGCACCTCAGTGTCCTTCTTGTAGGGAGGGGCCCAGAACTGTAACACAGAATTGGAGGTGTCACCTCACCAGTGCCAAGTACAGTAACACTTTCCAATTCAGTTTCATTAATACATAAATAGACAGTTAAAACAAGATAATTCATCTGAGCGTGAAGAGCAAGGTGTTAGTGCAATTTATTTGTGAAATGAATGTTGTTATTACTGGTTCAGAAGACACAGAACTTAAAATTGAGAAAACTTGTTCTGGAGGAATGAACACAAATTATGGAATTGTGATGTTCCAATTAAAATTCTTGATTTGCTCTTGTGAAGGCTGTGCATTGTGATGGATATAAATACAGAGAACTCGCAGAATAATCCATATCAGTGCCAGATTCAGGAAGATCTTGATGATCATGGATTTAGAGGAGAAGTCAGGCAAACAAATGTCTTAGTATTACTACATTGTTGTCGTGTAGTGGATTCAGACTGCCATGCCATAGAGTGGACAATCTCTGACACAGTAGGACTTTGTCAGATTATCAAGCTTGTGTGCCTGTGTTGAATTACTTCTGCTATCACTGCAGGAATTTGGTAGGACCTAGCCCATGCTATGACATTGCAGGGTTTGTTTTTCTGCCTTGGAAATGTGTTTGACCCTTCTCAGGCTATTCAGGTCTCCTGCATAGAAATGGGAGGTGTGACCTGAGTCTTTATTATTCTGGAGTGGCAACTAGTTGCTTTGTGTTAAGGCAGCTGGTGGAGCCAGAGATCTCCACTGGCTGTAGTAGGAGCTTGGGCTCACATGTGGACAGTGAAATATAAGGTGTCTTAAGCTCAAAAGGAATCCTACCCTAGAAATAAGATTCATTTGCAAATGATAATTTTCACCCTGCCTATGGGTGCAAATTATCATTTGATGTGTTCTTTAGTACCTCAGATGTCTCTGTGGAGCTAAGAGGTACTATTTACGATTTTTTAGGTACTCACAGCTTTCTGAAACTGGCTGGAATTTGGGCTGGAATTCCAGTTGGCTCTGAAGTATCTAAAACTGTATTAACCACCTAATTTTTTTTTAGTCAAATTAATTCTGTTCCAATTTCCATATAGGCTCTCTGCTTTGTCACTGGCTTCTTCCAGCTTTATTTCTATGCAGTTTTTGAATGCTTCATTAATCTACATCCACAGGGGACTTTAATGCGCTGTTTTCTACGTTTAGCATTTTTTAAATGGAAATAATATAATTCTGCTTCATGCACACTCCAGAGGGCAGACATTTAAGTGAGCTTCTTCTTGCCAACTTTCATCTGCCTATGGAGTATGTTGGGTCTAAACTGAGTAACAGGTTTTGTCATCAGTGGAGAGAGATGGACTCGCAAAGAGTGACTCACACTTCATATCTTAGACAGCAGTCTTCTCATCTTCTGTAGAGGCAGCCCAGGGGATTTAGAAAGTAAAGTTGAGTGAGATGATCCCACATTGCTACGCTTCATCTTTTTTCATTGCAGTGAGAGAGTAAACAGCACTTCGCTATGCTTGTAGAGGGATAATCTGTAGAATTCTCTTTCTCCTTTCTTCATGGTAGATCCAAAGCTACTAAAATGCTGGAAGATCTCTCTCCACTGATGGGAAACAGGGGCCTGAGAGTTCTGGGAGCCACAGTCCTCAAGGTGTTCTGTAGCTGGGCAGCATACTTGCAAATGAAGATGACATAGATGAAATTATGTGTTTGAGAGTGTGCATGGTGGTATCTTAACATTTGAGATGGTAAACTGGAGATGAGTCACATCCAACCGAGGAAAAATATACATCCCCTTTGTAAGAAAATTTGGGTGTGCAAATTTGAGTTGCAAGTGGTGACAAATTTATTCTTGATGGCATTTTAAAAATCCTATTTTAAGTGTTGGGTGTTGATCCTGATGTGTAATGTCTTTGGTTCTTTCCTGAGCTTCGGTGTGAAGTAAAGTCTGTACTTAGGTCAGCTCTCATTTTTGCCATGAGATTTTGAAGTTGTTACTATAGTTTCTCACGAGCATCAAAACCCATTGTATTAATACGGACAGATGGTCAGGCTGCATCATGTTTATTGGACCTATTAATGTATTATAAATGAGAGCATCTACATGGAAGTCTGCAACTCACAGCTTGATTCAGATACATGTACATAGCTGTGGACTGTGATTCAGAGTTTTTGAGATTGTTCTCCTTGGCTTTTGGTCACCACTCTGAAAGGGTGTGGGTCTAGTCTCCTGAAGATCTGTGCAGTTGTTTTATATACTCCATGGTGACTCAAAGGCAGCAGGTTTCTGTGTGGGGGCTGCTGAATTGAGCCTTGGTTATTGATCTTGCCTTTAGTTGTCCTTTACTTCCAGTGGTTTTTCTCTCAGCAATGATAATTACAACTCTGCTAGGGCAGTAAAATCCTAGAGTTTGCTGTTTTCCTGGGTAATTAACAATGTTGATGTCAAAAATAATATTCCTAATAATGCTGGCAACTGGAAGTGATTGTACTTCAAAGCTTAAATGGTAAGAGTGTATGAAAAGGAGACTCTAAACAGCAGCTATCAGTAAATTAATGATAAAATTTGCCAACATGCCAACTGCATGGAGTAGAATTCTAAGGCTTTCTATATGATTTATATTTTAGGGAAAGCTAAAAATGGATGTTACACTTTGATATACGTTCATTTGATTGGCGACTCTGTATGGCGAGAGTGGAGGTTTGTGTCATCACAGCACATATGAACAAATACTGAACGATGAGTCTCAAAATATAAATGTAAACTGTTACTAGAGTTATTAGGTAGGTTTTTGTCTAAGGAGTGGATCTCAGAATTACAGAATCACAGGATGTGTCAGGCAAGAAAGGACCACAGTGGTTCATCTGGTCCAGTCTCCCTGCTCAAGCAGGGTCATGATGGATCACATTACATAGAATTGAGACCAACAAATCTTGAATATCTCCAGTGAGAGGAACTCCACAACCCCTCTGGGCAGCTTATTCCAGTGCTTGTTGATCTCTACAGTAAAAAAGTTCTTTATATTCAGGTGGCACTTCCTGTGCATCAGTTTCTGCCTGTTTTCTCTTGTCCTGTAGCTCAGCACTGCTGAGCAGAGCCTGGATCCATTCTCTTGGCACTCTTCTTTAGATACTTAAAGACACTGATGAGGTCCCACCTCAGTCATCTCTTCCCATGGCTGAACAGGCCCAGCTCCCTCAGCCTTTCCTTGTAAGAGAGATGCTCCAGTCCCTCGCTCATCCTTGCTCTTCTCCACTGCACCACGAGCTCCATGTCTCTCTTGTCCTGAGGAGCCCAGAACTGGACACAGCACTCCAGATGTGCTTCACCAGGGCAGAGTAGAGGGACAGGATCAGCTCTCCCGACCTGCTGGCACTGCTCTTCCATCCTAATCCACCCCAGGACACCAATGCCCTTCTTGGCCACAAAGGCACTGCTGGCTCAGGGGTGCCTTGTTGTCCATTAGGACCCTCAGGTCCTTCTCTGCAGAGCTACTTGCCAGGAATTTCCCCCAGCATGTCCTGGGACATAGGGTCATTTGGTGCAGGACCCTGTATTTGCTTTTCTGGAACTTCAAGCAGTTCTTCTCTGCAGCTCTCCAGCCTCTTGAGGTCCTTCTAGAGAGTTGCACAGAACCCTCTGTTGTATTGGCCACTCTCCCACTTTTGTGTTGTCAAATCTCATATTTTTACATTTTCAACAATGACCTAGAAAAAGAAAAGACAATTTCTACTAATGTATAGACTAGAAAAGATTGAATATGGATTCACAGAACAGTCAACATTCTTGTTGACTGATAAGCTAGGCTCAAAAGAAAATATGTTTTAGATGGTGAAGGGCTCTGGAGAGGTGATCGTTTAGATGTGCATATGCTCACACTGTAATTCTGTGGCCACATGAGCAGAAATAGTATGGTAAATCATCTCTGGTTTTACTGCTGGCAAGACTGCCACTGGCATATTATATCCATTTCTGCTTCTGCATTTGAAAGACAGATGATGACAAATTGGAAGAGAATCAGAGGAGAGCAGTGAGAGTGGTTAAAGAGCTTGAAGGTAATGCCTGAAGATAATACAAGGCTTCGGGAACTTAACATTTAGCTTTTAAAAGGAACATCAAGAGACTGTTATAACTGACTCTGTAAGATCTCAGGAAAGAAATTTGGTACAAAATATGTTCTTATAGTAAAAGATAAAATGATACCAAGATAAGTGCTTAAATTCTAATGCTAGGTATAAATAGTACATTTTAATAGATTAAATGGAATTATTGGAAAAAATTTTCAGGACCTGTGGCAATTTTATTTTCACCAGACTTTCTAAAGTCCGTATAGATAGTTCTATATTCCTGTATTGTGTGTTCTGATTGAAAGAGTATTAAGTTCAAAGGTATTCCTTTGTTTTATATTGTTTCAGAGTTTTGGGCAATATTTTAATGTTCTTTTTTTATATATCCATGAATCTGCAGATAAAGTTATATTCCTATAATGAAAACCTTTTTTGAAACATGTTTGGTTAAATGCATTTTCATTTTTGCAAATACTGGCAGTGTGTCTGAACTCAATAATATAAGTTAATAAAGCCAGAAGTGTGTTCAGTGCTTGTAATAGTATCTTATGGAAAGCTGAGATGCTCTTTTCCCCAACCAACTAGCAATTTCTGGTTGACACATGGTATTAATATACTATTAAGAGGTAATTTAGGTATTGTAAACTATTGATGAATTAATAACACTGAGCCCCAGTACTTGAGAATAATTGTGTTGCTTAAAATGGATTTTTGGGTCCATTAATTACAGCCTTTCTTTTCAACAGGCCCATGCTAAGGTCTGGCATCTCTACAATGACCATTTCCGTCCGGCTCAAAGAGGAAAAGTGTCCATTGCCCTCAGCTCCCACTGGATAAAACCCCAGCGTATGACTGAAACGAACATAAAAGAATGCCAAAAATCCCTTGATTTTGTGCTTGGCTGGTTTGCTAAGCCCATATTTATTGATGGTGACTATCCAGAGAGCATGAGGAGCAACCTCTCATCTCTGTTGCCTGAATTCAGTGAGGCTGAGAAGAAGTATATCAAGGGAACAGCAGACTTCTTTGCTCTTTCTTTTGGAGCTACCCTGAGTTTCCAGCTTTTGGACTCCCACATGAAATTCCAGCAGTTGGAATCAATAAGCCTGAGGCAGCTCCTTTACTGGATAAACAGTGAATATAACAACCCCCAAATATTCATTGTGGAGAACAGCTGGTTCGTTTCTGGTACCACCAAGAAAGATGATGCCAAATATATTTACTATCTCAAAAAATTCATTATGGAAACTTTAAAAGGTAGGACTTTGTATTAATACGTGCTTGAAAAAATGATAATGCAGTATAGCCCACAGAGGTGTGTTAAGGCACCAGGCTGCAAACTGATTTTAGTCTTTAGCATTCATCTTAGCACTTATGAAATGAGAGTTCAAATCCCTTTCCTGGGTTTATTCTTCCCTTGAAGAACTCTCATATCTGCACATAGCATTTGGTGAGCCTGATGCTGCTGTTCTTGAAGACAGTAGGAAAATTTCTACTGTCTTTGGTAGGAGGAAGTGCAAGACATGTAAAACTATATTCTCAGTGGCCTTAGGAGAATTTGCTGTACTATATATTAATAGCTGCTTTCCTTATCTGAATGCATATGTACAAAACATAAGAATATATATATGGAAAGGTAAATACTATGCAATAGGAATTCCCCTGAAAAAACCCATAAGGCTGAAATAGTACATTTTAAAATTAAATATTGGAACCTTCTCATTCTGCATCTTACCCTTGCCCAAATTTCACATTTGTACAGCTGTGGGCATCAATCACAGTAATTTGAATTTCCATCAGTTAAAGGAGAACTGAATAGTTGAGGATATATAATAAAAATAATTTAATTTGTTAACCTATTATTTTTTCCAAACAGTAAGGGAAATACACCACCATAGATGAGACTTATTTGTTGTTTTCCCATTTCCTTCTGGAAAAAACATTTTTTTAATCCTAGTAGTTGCCAATAAGTTGTTGGGGTTCCCATTTCCACTTTCATTGTCTTTTAATGTCTAAATTTACAATTCGTCAAGTGATTTACTTTTCTACAGTTTACTGTTCTTGGTTTAAATAATATTATTGTATCTATTAATTCAGATGAAATAGACATTGTGTTACATTGCCATTTTCATGTGGTGAATGAGAAAAAATTTGTTTAATTTCATTCTCAGCAGTAATGAAGATGCAGAGGACTCCCAAACTGGTTTCATCTGCTATTCCAGAAACGTAATTATTGCAAGTAAATTAAAAGGTGAATAAATACCTGAGCAAAATAGTAACTAACTGTTGCAAGTACAGTATCACTAGTTTGCATAAAGTCAGCTGAAGAGTTCATCTTCATGAAGAGGTCATACCCCTATTTCTGCTTAGATTTTAAATTGCTGCAAATACACACATAGATCTGTCTTTTAATCACAGCTGGCTGGAAGCAATCTCAATTTACAAAGTGTCTTTCCATTTATTGTATCACTCAGTAAATAATAACAACAGCAACAACGGTATTAAAGATTTGTCATAAGACACTGGCATTTGCCTAAACTTTTTATAGAAAAAAAAAAAAAAAACAAGCAAAGAAAGCAGAGCCAGGCTGGGTCTGCAGGAGGGACTTTGGTATCATTAAAATGGAAAGTATTGCACCCAAATCTTCTGTTGTTAGAATCTGCAAAATCCAATGTAAATACCAAAGTTTTCTATGCAGTACCTTGGGGAATTTAGTTGAGAAAGATCCAAAAAAGTCATCATGCTGGCTGTGAGCAGAGTTGTTGGACAGCATTAAAAACCAAACATAAAGGCACAAGCTTTCTCTCTGAGAATTGTAGATATGCCTATCCAGTGCAATAAAGCACTGTAATAGGAAGATTTCTGAGGTATTAACCATGAAATTCACTCCAGTGGTGAAGGGACAGTAAAATGACACAGGAACTGTAGCACTGAGAAGCAAGGATGATTAATTCAGACATGGGTCCGCATAGCTGGGATTTTGCTTCTTGCTAGATCTTGCCAGTATCTGTGCATGGCTGTGTGTATGCACTGGTTCAGACAGAACTGCTTATTTCTCCATCTGCTTTAGCAAATAAGTGCAGCCCAGTTGCTACCTGTAGAGCAAACTGGTAGAGCAAAACCCAGAGTAAACCTGTAGAGTAAAAATGTATTGGTTTTGAGGGCCAGGTGTCCACACTGTATGTATTCCTGAAGCCCATTTCTGGATTAATTTTACCCCAAAGGAACCCAGGACATGCATTCTGATCCCACTGTGTGATATGAACTGAAGCATGATGAGGGAGATCTGCTCAAAAGTGTGCTCCTGATTTCCCTTGAAGTGCTGATGTAGGTGTCCACTCTGATACTGCATGCTGTAGAGAAGCTCTGTACAATTTTTTAAATTTATTTTTTTGTTTTCCTTTGGGAAAGGATATTTATTTGGGATTCACAGTCCTCCTTGCTATTTTTGGTGGTTTTTTGTTTTTTTTTTTTTTTTTTTTTTTCCTGGCACCATTTAGGGTTGATTAGAGTAAATAGAGCTGTAATATAAAGTTGTTAAATATTAATTAGAGCCATTAATTGGTTGGAGATATCCTCTCCCATGTGTGGGGATCTTACTCTGGGGTCATATTCACTTCCCTTCTCTGTCTCTGGTGCAACAAACAAATGGTTTGTGCCTTGTAAAGCAGAGCATGTTCCCTGGAAGGGCTCCTCTGAGTCATGTTGACTGGGAGAGGTCAGGTCATTGTCTGGGGAGTTACCAGGTCTGAATTTAGAGTCTTAAGCAGAAAAGGAATAGGCAGGCCCATGACAGATAGGACCAAGCTAATCTCAGGTATGTCCAGAGGTGAAATATAGATCTTGAGCACCTTCCAGATGGAAGCATGGGCTGGGGGCTTCACACATCTCTTCTTCAGGCACTGGGGTTGGAGAGCACCTGAGCCGATCTCTATTTGATACTCTATTTAAAGATCTCTAGTTGATACTTGTGGGTCTGCCATGTTTCCTTTCATGACTTCGATACTATTGAGCCAAACAGGACATGAGCTGAGCTGCTGTTTAATTTTTAACCCAGTTCTGGCAGAGTTGTGGTCTGTACAGTATGAAACTTGTAGGCTTGCTCTGGGGGATTGCTCACATCAGGAGTCACTTGCAGTGGGAGTATGGACAAGGCCACTGAGTTTCAGAAGCAAGGACAGTCTAGATTTCAGTCAGCCTCGTTTGGTCACCAGCAGATATAAAGGAAAAAAGAGAGACATACGTAGAAAGAAAAGAAAAGAAAAAAGAAAAAAGAAAAGAAAAGAAAAGAAAAGAAAAGAAAAGAAAAGAAAAGAAAAGAAAAGAAAAGAAAAGATACATTAGTTTTCATTGTGGTTATATGCAATCAGTGTGGGATACGGTGTTTGAGACTTCCAGACTTCTTGGAACTTCCAAATATTTTTCAAGTTGCTTCTTTCCTAGGTGACACTTAAAAGTTAATACATTTTTTAAAAAGGATTTGAGGAGAATTTTTACAAGGTGCTCAGGAAGTGTGGGAGTGCTGTGTGAAGTGATGACTTACAAAAGGGTGAGATGCTGTTCAAAGAAGTTTTCACTGAGACTGGTTCACACAGTGGACCTGTACTGGCTTTTACTCTGCTGTATGGCAGATGTCATCATGGGTGCATGCAGAGGTTAGAAAAATAGTGACATTTGCCAAACACAAAAGAATGGTGCCTTTAGGAGGAGAAATATTCCATTTCCTTAGACATTTTCTCATGACCTCTGACAAAGACTGGGCCAAATTTGTTCCTTATTTAACTGCATTGTTCCTTTAATTGATTCAAACAGGGTTACAATCAAGAATCCATGTGGTGCCTCATAACTGATTGTAATGAAGTACGTTAGTAAATGTAGCTCAGGAAATTAGGATCTTGTTATTCTGCTTGCCTAAAATAATGCTTTCAGTGTTACTAGGCTGGTAAATATTATCTTCAGTCAGTATCCAGTTTGGGCTGACAGAAAATGGTGAGTAATAAAGATAAACTTTGCTGGCTACAGAGCCAAACACCAGTTCAAAAGAACGTTTAAGAATGTGCTTAAATGCATTGCTGAATTAGGGTCTAATTATGTAATTAGAATTAGCACACTCTTTTGTGCTTTCCTGGAGCTGAGCCTTGCCCAGGAACATTTTGCTGAATCTCAGTGTTTAATAAAACTAAAAGTGAGTATCATTTGGAATCTTATAATAATGCTGGTAAAACTAACAGATGCCAGTAGATCCTGACATTAACCTTTAAAGCAGGTGGTGGTTTTAGAAGTCAAACAGTTGACCTAGAACATGCACATATTTTTAGAAACCCTTAAATATTTGAGCTGGAAAATGCTGTGCCATAAAAGATGTAAAGAGACAGAATTTCCAAATAAACAGAGTATTTCTGTATTATCACTTCTACTTGGAATCTGTGGTAATAAAAATTCATGTGCACACCAAACATTCTGCTAGGTTTTTCCCAATATGTATTTGGAGTGGAGGGGGAGGAGATGAAAAGGAGTACAGCTTTTGTTTGCATACAGGGTAGTGCTGCAGCAACAGCTACCCTGGAGTGAGCTGCAGCATGAGCAGAGCAGAGGGCAGTGCAGGGCAGCCCCTGGCTCCGTGGCTGCAGATGGCTCAGGCTCTACTCTGAGGCTGAGGTTTGGCACATCTGATGAGCAGCGCTGCTCAAACCACTGCTGCACGGCTTCTCTTTCTAAACCTCGCTGCTTTAAAGCCAAGCCAGGTACCTCTGCTGCCTCCTACCATAATCTGGCAGCTCCCCCAGTGCAGCTGAAATATGTTCCCTGAAAAGGCTTTGAGGAAGGCCCTGAGATACTTATCTGACCTGTTGCATTGTTCTTACACACTAATGCTGCAAGCATTGCTGATAGGGTGTGATCTGCAGAGGAAAAATGAGCACCGTGCTAAGTTTGGGTTTGTTCTTTCCTCAGCTATCCGGTACGACGGAGTTCACGTGTTTGGCTACACAGTCTGGTCCCTCCTGGATGGCTTTGAGTGGCACAGGGGGTACAGCATTCGACGTGGACTGTTTTATGTTGATTTTCAAAGCCACGACAAGAAGTTGATGCCCAAATCTTCTGTCTTGTTCTATCAAAAGCTGATAGAAAAAAATGGCTTCCCACCTTTGCCTGAAAACCAGCCCATAGAAGGTATTTTTCCCTGCGGCTTTGCTTGGGGAATTGTTGACAACTACATTCAGGTGAGTCTGATAATAAAGCCGACAGGCTGTCCAGCTAGATCAGTGCACAAGTTCACAGTGACATATTTGCTGAATAGAGTGTCTTTGCCACAGTGCTGCAAGGAGATGGGTACACGGCTTTTGAACCAAACAGTGTGTCTATCATTCTTCACCAGACTTGCTGTGTGTGACCAAGGCAAAACGGTCAGATTGAGACACTGTAAATAACATTCTAGAAAAATGTATGGAAATGGAAAGGAGTCTGATGCTTGTCTTCCCTGAACATATGCAATCAGTTATGGGAAGTCAGCTCTTTTCAAAGGGAAGTCAATTAAATCTGCTAAACTGTAAAATGGATGTTTTAGAAAACTTCCTGACAACTCCTAAAACTCCAGTGGCATGTTTCTATATCTTATGCATATCCATCCTGGTACTGTTCTTAGAGAGATTTTTATATAAAAGGAAGTAAACAATATTAGATTTAAATGAAATTTCTATATTCCTTGTATTTCATTTTATGTTATACTGTGTCTGATAAGGGCCTGCATAGAACCTAGCTAGTTCATGGCCCTCAGTCTTTATTTCAACTGATTTGATACTTTGGGAGAATGTTTCAAATTATAATACTTTATAACATGAGTACAAATTCTACCTTAGTTGTGATCGCTTTAACTGTTGGGCTCTGTAATTTTCAGATGCTATTTTGGGTTGCAGAGCTTCTCTAACCACAGTAAAGAGGTGTAAATTCAGAGTCAAGGCTTCATCCAAAACCAGAATTTTTAATTTATATTTTCCACAAAGGCAGAATCTTTCTTAAGGCTTGAATGTGAGGAGCTTGTTTTTTCTCACTCCAAAAGTAAGATTTGGCTTTATTCTCTTGAGAAATACCGCAGCCTTCTTACCTCATGCACTGATTTCCAAGAAAATTCAAGTCATCCTCCTAGCTCTCAGATAGATTAAGAATTGGAAATGGAATTGCTGCTTTTGGACTCAGTAACAACTATAAAGTTGCGGACTCAGTCAGCTTACAACAGCTAAAAAATCCCTCCCATCCCCAAAACCTTCAAAGATGAATATTTTCCTTTCAAAAGGCCATTCAAACATTTTGTGCTGTAGGCTTAGGTTGTTTGATTTGTAGATGCATCACAGTGGAAAAACTGTTTTGACAGCCTTCCCACAGTATTAGTGGCAATGCATGCTTTAGTAATCTACAAGGGACAATTCTCCAGAAAAGCAATTTCCCTCAGACATGCTGTTTTTTATTACTTTCTTCTACAAGCACAGTACTGACCTCTCCGGAGAAAATAGCAACTGATTTTCAGCAGCTTCTTTTATACAGTCTGCAGAGCCTCAGCTACAAGTTGAACACTGGTTGTAGGCTGACACCTGCTTTTCAAACAGAGGGCAGGACAAGGAATCTGAGCTCAGGGGGAAGCTGCACACCAAAGATTAAAAAGAAAGAGGAAAGGACAAATAATGACCATGATATCACTATCCTGTGGTTTGGATCTAGAAAGAATTACACAGAGTATGAATGAGGAAACTTCACACTGTGCATTATTATAAGTAGTTCAGTGTTTCATTTTCTAGTCCTTACTGTGCTGGTGATTTTCATTAAAAAGTGAAAGTATAATTCTGAGTGACCCTGAGAAGCTCATCTTGTACTGTGTTACTGTGTCATACAGGCAGTTGTGACATCTGAAACCCTAAAGCCCTCTGGGAAATGCATTTTCTGTTGGAGTAACAGACAGCAGGTTTACCCAGAAGCCCAAGAAAATTGATTCAGACATCAACAGCCTGCTGAAATAACTTGGAAATTACTTCAGTATGGATTAAATAAAAAAGGATGTCTCCAGCAAGAAGGAAAAAATTTGCTTGTCCACTGAATTTTTGCTAAAAATCAAGTGCAGAGCATTACTCATCTTTCATCATAGTCAGTAAAAGAGAACACAGAAATGATGTATTCATTATTTTTTCTCATGCATTCAGGGAGTGGTCTTGAAATTGACTACTGGGTAATTCACAGCAGACAGTCTCTGTATACCCTCCTTCAAAGAAAAACATTTTAAAAATTACTGTAGTCTTCACTGAAGATCTTCTCTGGATATCTGTTGCAGACTTAGTGCCTTATCCCTGAGCAATCCTTTGTTTCTTTTGGAAACTTGAACAACTTAGAGAAGACATAAACATGATGACCATTAGCATAAGCTTGTTTGGAAAGTAGGGTAAAAATAATAGATAGATTTGGTACTTTTCTGACATCACTTGTTAACAGAAAAGTCATTCATTTGTATGAGCCCAAGATGCCATCATCAGAGATGCTGAATGCAATGTTTTGACTGAGGATATTCTTTCACTAGGCTGTGTCTGATGGTTATAATGTTCCCACCTACCTGGAACAAACAGCTTCAATCTGGTGTGTTTTCTGTTCCTTCTAGGTAGACACGACACCTGCCCAGTTCCTTGACTCCAGTGTTTATGTGTGGGATGTTCACCAGACAAAGCAGCTCATTAAAGTGGATGGAGTTTACACCTCGAAGCGCAAGCGTCACTGTGTTGACTTTGCTGCTATCAGGCTCCAGATCTCTCTTCTGCAAGAAATGCATGTCACACACTTCCATTTTTCACTGAAATGGTCTTTAATCCTTCCTTTAGGTAACCTTTCTCTAATCAACCACACACTTGTACATTACTATCAGTGTTTTGCTAGTGAACTTCTCAGGGTTAACATAACTCCTGTCGTTGCTTTATGGCAACCTATGATTGAGAATCAAGAGCTTCCAGTTTCTCTTGCCAAATATGGTGCTTGGGAAAACACAGAAACTGTTCAGGCTTTTGTTGAATATGCCAGATTCTGCTTTACAAGTCTTGGGGACCATGTGAAATTTTGGATCACCATGAATGAACCGTCTGTGAAAAACCTGACATACACAGCAGGGCACAACCTGTTGAAAGCCCATGCAAAAGTCTGGCATCTTTATGACAAAGAATTCAGGAGATCTCAGAAGGGCAAGATATCTATAGCTTTGCAAGCTGACTGGGTAGAACCAGCTTGTCCCTTTTCCAGGAATGACCAAGAAGTTGCTGACAGAATTTTAGAGTTCGACATTGGCTGGCTTGCAGAGCCCATCTTTGGGAATGGAGACTACCCAGAGGTGATGAGAGCGTGGCTTCGCCGAAGAAACAGCGTTGACCTGTATAATTTCCACTTGCCTTACTTCTCAGAAGATGAAAAGAAGTTAATACAGGGCTCATTTGACTTTTTTGCCTTGAGTCACTACACTACTACCCTTGTGGGCTCAGAGAAAGAAGATGCAGTAAAATATGACCACTACCTTGAAGTTCAAATGATCAATGACATCACGTGGCTTCACTCTCCCAGCAGAGCTGCAGTAGTGCCCTGGGGGCTGCGTAAATTGCTCAAGTGGGTGAAATCAAAGTATGGCAATGTCCCAATTTATGTTATGGCTAATGGGATTGATGATGACCAGAATATGGTGCATGATAAGCTCAGAGTGTATTACATACAGAATTACATCAATGAAGCTTTAAAAGGTAAGGAGCCACAGATGGTTTATATGTCACAAATCCCACTATTAGTATACACTGTGTGATAAAGTATGCTTAGCTTTATAATACATGTCCTCTGTAGAATACTCCCTAAATGAGATGTTACTACAGTGTAACAGGTAATTTTCCCCTTGATTTATGATTGATTTGTGTTACTAAACGTCAGGAAGATTGACCTTGCTTATGTCCTGCATAAGACAGCAGAAGAAGATTTTTATGGGTTGAGTAAATTTAAATAGAAGTTGTGTGAGTAGCTCCACATGTATTTAGTCAGATTTCCATCTTACTGCACTTCTACTGTTGTTTTGCTTTGCTGCTTCTCTCCACTGATGTGCCTCAGGGCTGGGTATGAGTTCTGTTCCTCAGTTGTCTCTGTATCTTATCCAACAATGATCTTATCCAACAGTGATCTTCATAATAATTCAGCTGTCTACCTCATTATGCCATTTCCTGGACTGTTTCCTGCTATTCAGAACACATACCAGTCCTTTTCTCTGTCTCAAAGATTCATAAATTATAAGGCAAAAAGCACTTTGAGTCATTCTGTCATACAGCACATGCTGTTTTTTCAGAAAAGCACAAGACCCAAATGAGATAATTTTTACTGAAGATTCTTTGCTACCTCACAGTGTGTGTATAGATATATATATAAATCTCATTTCTACTATTAATTGCTCTAGCTTCAGCTTTAAGCAATCTTGTTGTGCATTTCCATATATATTTTACCTATGTAGGTATTTGCAGACACAAGACAAGCTATCTCTCATATATCTCTTTGATAGATAATACAGACAAAGCTGTTTGTGTCCCTTGCTATAAAGCATCATTTCAAAGCTCTGAGCTATTAAGTTTTTCCCTGTATGCTGATATTCCTCATCAGAGGGGTAAACCCACACCTGGACACACTGTTCCTAACACAGTCACACTTAGGCAGGTATAACATAACCTCTTACCCTGCTCATTTCTACATGCAAGCAAGCTGTTGGCCTTCTTGGCCATGGCAGCAGGTTGGTTACACAGCTTCTGTGGTGATTTACTGACATTTTAAACTCAGTTACAGATTCCTTCACTGTGTTCAAAGCAGGACTGCCTCTTCAAAACTAGGTCTGCTTGTTGTTCACATTTGGTCATGTCCAAATGCCTGCTGCTTGTTTGTGCAAACCTTGCTATGCTAGCTAAGTTATGTCTCTAATCTTTGTGACTTGCAGACTGTGAGAAGAACTTTTACATTTATTTCAGGTTGCTTATATATTTAAGATCTTTAAATAACTTAGTGCTAAAAGCTGAGCTCCCTGACCATGGTAGAAATATACACATTGTGACACTTACTTGCCTTCAATTACATTTCTAGACTTACTTCTAGTTCTGTTACTTAATTCTACTTGAGACTAGTTGAAATCTGTTTATTATGGGCTTTGCTTGACCTCAAAACATTCTATTTTCTTGTTCCAAATGCCATATAATATAAAGTCATTTGCCTTGTGAAGCTCTAAGTATTTAACATCAAATATCATTACTTTTATTGATCTGCTGGTCTCAGAAAAAAAAAGTTATTTTGACAAGATTTATTTTTCATAAAGCCAAGCTGATTGGCATTAATCATGTATTATCTCCTAAATTTTATATTTATTAAGCTTTATATAATCTGTTCCACTCTTTTGATAGGTAGTGAAGGATGGCTGGCAATTCCTGTCCACTGTATTAACTATTGGCTTTAACTTCCTCCTCTGTAATTTCCACGTCTTTTGCTGATTACTGAACATCAATATTAAGTGCCCAAGAGTTCATTCTCCAGCACTGAATTTGTAGCATTGAATGCATGTTTTATAAATCTATAGTTAAAAAAATATTTTGGCAATATTTGGGCTTGTGGTTTCAAACTGTTTTTTTCTGTACTGCTTGTTTCCTTGGCACTTCTGTTTTCAAAGTGTCTGTGGACGTGGACTTACCTCCCAGTTCCCATTAGCAAGAACACCTACATGCCTCTGCTTTTTACAGAACTTTGCCCTTTGTACTGTTCTGGTACCACTGTCCCCCAGTCACTTCTTTCTCCCTCTTCTGTCCAGCCTGTAAATAGCTCCTGTGTTTTTCAGCTTAACCTATTTTCTTTTCACCTTCTTTGTGATGGATAAATATGTCTCTGCTAACTAGCTGTAATACTTTTCCTAAAGCTTAATCTCCCCCTTTAGACACTCCTCCATAGTGTTTGGCCCATCAGCTTTTCCATTTTTTTCTTCTCCCTCTCTGATACTGCACTTTTGTCCATCTTGTCATTACATAACCTTGGCATCATGACTGATTCAGGTTTCTCCAAGACATGCATTTCTGTTTTGCAACACCTTGTGCAGTAACTAAGATGAATTAGAAATCTTGTGTCCTTACCTCAGTGTCACAGTAGAGGGGGATTGGCATGTGTATGCCCTGGCCTTAAAGTCCCTGTTCTGCCTTCTTCCTCCAGCTGATTTCAGGCACTGCATGTGGAAATTTTTGTGTGTGTAATATTGCTCACCTGCATTGTTCCAGGGGAGCCAGCAGGTTTGCACAGATAAATGATTCCAGGATACAGTATGGGACCTTTTGGACTGAGGCTATATTTTGAAGTGCTTTGTACTCTCTTTAAGTACATCTTTGCCAATTGAAAACAAAGAACAGCAGTATCCAATTATGTAACACCATTAAATCCACCTGCAGTTCTGCAAACACAATTAATTATCCTGGGCAGCAGCTCTGTAAAAGGCCAGGTAAATATTATTTCATTTTACAATGAAAACTAGGTTAGGGTGCTAAAATCTTGCATGTGGCTTCAGAAAGAATTGTTTCCAGAAGCATATGAAAGTTCAGTCCTGTGTTCATCTGCTTTTATTTGCTAAAGCAGTGATTTTGTGAGATAAACTACTACAGTTTGTGTTTACTACCTTGGATTGATTTTTTTTGTCAAGCAGGATGGATGGCTCAAGGTTAACACTGCAGCTGCTGGGCCTCTTCCAGTAGCTGAGTTAGCAGTATGGATTGTGGACACGTTCTCAATACAGACTGATACAGGTCATCTTGGATCAGAAACTTGGGTTAATAACAGAAGAGGGCTGTGATTTACATAAACTTTCCCCTTGCACCAGTGATATCCCAGTACACAACCTCATGGCTGTGATATTTCTGGTGTCACTGTGCCTTTGCTAGTGAGAAGTGCAGCCAAACATCCTCTGTTTCTTGTCCCATCAGGACGTGCCCTGCAAGGGAGAAGGAGAAATCAGAGAAACAGGCTGCAGAAAACTAGGGGCAGGAAATCCAAAACCTGTATTCTTTAATACAAAACAAAGAGAGCCATCTTTTCATGATAGGCTCTATGCTGATCATAAAACACCGTTAGGCACTCACAGCTGTGTTTGCCAAGCACAAGGAAATAAATTGCAGGATACTCACAGATCACACTGTCTGGCAAGTGGCTGACAGATTCTTACTTTTTATGAGAAACACTTCAGAGATGTACATGTACCTTACTTAATTTGGAGAGAAGTGCAGATGTGGATTTAACATTCCCCTGCCTCTCCTTTACATATGGACATATGGTACTGCTCTTGAATGCAAAGTGACATTGATACATTTCTTCAACCCTTTGTCTTCTTTTGCAGCTTACACCTTGGATGACGTTAACCTTCAAGGATATTTTGTCTATTCTTTTAATGACAAAACTGCTCCTAAGTATGGTCTCTACAGCTACGTTGCAAATCAGTATGAACCAAAACCTTCTCTGAAACATTACAGAGAAATAATTGGCAATAATGGTTTTCCTGGTCCTGAAACTCCTGAGTTGCTGTGTCCAGAAGAGGTGTCCTCATGTCCCGATTGTCACTTCTTCCGAACGAGAAAATCGTTATTAGCCTTTATCTCTTTCGTATTTGTTGCATTTATTGTTACTATATTCTTCATTACTTACTACTCCAAGAGGGTGGAAAGGCGGTATTAATAGAGCTTCTCCCTTGAATACATCACTCACTGTCCTTTTTCTTGCAATCCTTTGGGAAATCTGAAATAAAAATGCACAATGCTGTGATTGCTTCAGCATTAGGAAGGCATTTACATTGCTTGGTACTGCAGGATATTGACATTGAGAAGCTATTGCTTGCATATGGCTTCCAGAAATCATTTTCTCTGTTATAGTACCTTTGGTTTATAACCAGTCCTTGATTCCTGTGGTTGGATTTGTCTCCCAGTTTTCCTTGGGACCTTTTGTTCAGCAGATGCTTTCCCCGTCTTGGATTTCCCTTGCTGAACTGTACAGGTGAAATAAGGTTTTGAAAACGTGGTGTGATGGAAGAGCCTAAATGTCAAATTCTCCAAGACTGGGGTGAAACAAGAATTTGCTTTTCCAAATTAGGGTTTAACACTGATGTTTCTTAACCAGAGCTAGAACCTAACTGGAGCAGGGATCATGACTGAGAAGAAAGTGGAGGAGAACTGCAAAAAGCAGTGCCAGGGGAAAGATTAACCCCTGTCCTAAAGCAGATGCAGGAGGAAGAACAGGGGGAAATGAGTCTGTACTGCTGGGAGCTCTTGGTAAATCAGTAACTGGTACTGTGACTACATCTGAGTTCAGTATGCCATTGGGGAACTTCAGTTAAAGGAACTGTGTCATTCTCAGCGGGGTAAAAAGCAGGGATATATCCAGGGATTGCAGGGGTCATGCCATCTACTGGGAAGAGACAGGAAGGGTGAAAGGGCTTCCCTTTGTTTTGCTCAGGAAAAAAAAAGGTAAAGAGCAGGAACTGGGATGTCTTCACTGTCTCAGTTGGCAGAAAGCTGTGTGCCTGACCCCGTGCCTCTTGCCCTGTACCCAGGGACATGGCACAGCTGGGACACCCCCTTTCTGCACTTCTCACAGCCAGTTGAACTCAGCTGCCGCTGCTGCTGCCCAGCCACTTACCTGCTGGAAACTTGTGGTAACTTAGCAGGGATGGTCTCTGCATGCTATTTGTGTTGAGTGCAGAGACTTCAAAAGGCAGCATTTTGGTGTAATAGTGCAGCACTTTATTGCTGCCAGGGTCTGAGATTGTGGAGCTTTTGGGCCAAACCTCTCACAGGTTGGCTGGAGGTTCTCCTTTGAGCAAGTGGACCTGGCAGCATTTGATCCCAAAGTATTACTGGATGTCTGAGGGCCTCTTGTTTTTCTCTCAACAAGATAAAATAGCAGAATGTTAGCACCGTTGTTTATTAGTAGAAATAGAGAATGGGAAAGAAACCTATGTCATTTTCCTGCCTTGTGAATTGCTGCATTTGGAAGGTCCTCAGGGTAAAGCAGTATGGTCATTTTTGTCTGCTCTCTAACTCTAGGCCTGCATTGCCTTCAGCTGTAATTGTATTTTTATTGTTATGTGAACAATGTCATTCACTGGAAAGAACATTTTAAAAGAAATATGCTCTGTGTTAATGAAGAATTATTTATCTACTAAAGCTGATTATGTTGTATTAAATGTGATGTTTATCTACTAGATTACTAGAAGATGACTAAATAACCTCCCAGGGTTCTTTTCAACCCGAACACTCTATGATTCTATACTGTATATTAAAACTTACATATGAAATATGATTTTAATTTGTAATTTAAGATGATATTTTTTCTTAAATAATGTATAGGAAAAAAATTAGTATCGTCTCATAATGATTAATATATTTTTCTTCCAGTTCTAGTCTTTAAATGGTCTCTCTTTGCAATTGTGTATATTTTGCTATTGAGATTAAGGTGCACATTTCAGGATAAGTGATGAAGTTTAAAAATATGTGTAAAAATTATTTATAGACTGATAGGACTTGCTGTAGAAGAGAACATTTCAAACTGCTGTGTATTTATGCGTTGGTGCCTGGTGCACTGAGGATTATGAAGGAATAGCTCTCCCTGAGTGTATGAAATGTGGAATGGCTTTTCCCTGGCACGGCAGTGAATCACTGTGCAACACGTTATGCCAGCTGCCAGATGCCTTTGCAGCACATAACAAAAAGTGACATTCATTTAGCACAAGCTGCACCCAGCTCATCCCAGCTTGTGTGTTCTGTATGCCTGCGTGTCTGTGTTTGTGTGTGTGGTGTGTATTTTGCTGTTGGTCAAACGTCGGGGCCTGATGTTTCTGAAGAGCCAGGTGTACCTGGGTTGTACCTGCACCCCTGGGTTTGAGGGGGCTCAGGAGGCCTGGGCAGGGCAAATCCAGAAGAGCACAGGTGCCATGGGCACAGTGCTGATGGACCTGATGCTTCATGAGCAGTTCCCATCCATCCAGCTGCTGCTGGGAGTTGTGGAATGGCCCAGGCACAGCACAATGTGTGAAACAGCAGTCCCAGCACGGAGGAGACACGGCAGGCTCTTCCCATAGAGGCTGGGTGATATGTAACCACTGACAGGCAGATGGCACCAGCTGGATAGCTAATTTGTAGGTAAACTGGGATTTGTTGCTGTGTGATTGTATCCATTCATGGAGCCATGACCCATGGAGCTAAGACAGCCTTTGGCATAGTTGTCTTCAGAAGATGTTTTAAATATCACTGCAGAGCACAGCTGGCTTGAGCAGGGCACAGTGGTTGCCAAAGCTTTCTCCCGAGCGTCCTGCCTGTGGTGCTGCCTGGGCCAGTGAATTGCACAATGATGGGCTGTTCTGATGGAGATAATGGTATGGTTTTGCCTTTGGAATCTGCTTTATTTTATATACTCAGGGACAGTGCAAGTTTCCTGTCATTTGTCTTGAAAAAAATCACTCTTCAGTAATAACAAGGAACCCCATTAATAGGCAAAGATGGGATACCTGTCCAAGGTGTGCTTATGCAAACTGATGTGGCAATCACCTCCTTTGGTCCTGCTGTGGGGCACTTGCTGTCTTGGATGCTCACATGAGAGCAGTGATCTGGCTCTCCCAACGCCGTCTGTGCATCCTGAGCAGAAATGCAGGCAGCAGAAAGGACTTGGAGCAGAGGGGGCTCCCTACTCAGGCTGCAGAGATGGCTTGGTGGTGGCTGGTGGTTTGTTTTCTCCAGGGCAACAAGGCATGTTCAACTTGTGGTTTTTTAGGTACACTGCTTTCTTGATTTTTAACTGTGTTTATAGAATGAAATGTTGTTGCCAGTTTACTCAGTGCTCCAGATTAAACATTCTATCTGTTCAAAATATTTTTATGACATGTGTGCAAAACTTCCGGTTTATTTCTTGAAAAGATTGTGCAGAGTGACTGTGGGAGAGATGTCTTTACTAAATGACAGGATGAATGTTATATTGTTTTTATAACAATCGCAGAAGTGAAATAAAGATACTGAATGTAACAAATTGTAACATGATCTTACTGTTTAATCTGTCCAGTTTTTTCGCCTGCAGCATGAAGTACAGAGCATCTCAGGAGAGGCTATTGTGATAACTCTGCAAGGAGTTTGTGTTGTTTGTTTTTCCAGTGACACAGAAATAACTCTAGCTTTTGTTGGAGATTTCTGGGGCCTGTGGCTAAACAGATGTTTTTCCAGCAGACCTAGGAATTTGGAGGGTTTTTGTTATTTGAGGAGGTTTTTTATTATTATTTTTTAAAGTGACTGTTGCTATTTAGAAAATCTGTGGAAGTAACCATACCAATTTAAGAGTGCTTTGGTGCAATATCTTATTCCATAGTAACAGTGCAGTAAATTTGAAAACTCTTCTATTCCAGTAGAGTTACTCCCAGGTTTCAGGGATTCGGTCAGCATAGTTCAGCACTGAGCAGTCTGTTTGTGGCATCGTTGTTAAACATCCTAAGGAAAGTAAATGTCAAGATGAAGGGAAGTGGGAACAGAATGGAACAAACCCAGAGAACGGAAGAGGGGCCATACAAGCCTCAGCATGTTTAAACACACAATTTTCCCTTTTCTCCTTTTATTATATGTGTTGCTTTCAAGTCACTTAGAAAACTTGATCTGTTCATTCTGCTTCCAGAGACGGCTGAGGTGAAAATTTCCTTATTCAGGGTAAAGAAGTCAGTTCTAGGTGCTAGACTTTAGCTTTGGCAAGGAAAGTTCAATCTTGTTCCTTTTTTGCTTGAGCAAAGCCAAGAAAAAGAGACATGGAAAAGAAAAGGGAAAGCTCTTCCTGTCTTTGATGTGCCACTCATTAATTGCCAAACCACCGTTCCTCAGCCCTCTCAAGGCTATGGCTGGTGCAGGCTTGTTAAGCCCACCCTTCTTGTTAAGCCCACTCTTTATAAGAGATTGGAAAAAGGGAATAATGAGGTGAGAAGAAAGTGTCAGGGCCCAGTGTATCAGAGTCTTTTACTTTGCTTCATGAGTTGAACAGAAACACCACTGTCAAGCAGTTCTGAGAAAAATTAAAACTTTTAAGAAATCAGAAAGTTGAAATAACAGCAGACTGCAGCCAGGATGCTTGTGGGTGCTGACATTTCTCTGGCTATTACTTTGTGATGCTTTCTGTGTTTCTGAAGGAGTAGCAAAAGCACCAATGAGGCAGAGAGAAGCCAGGGAAAATACTAACAAAATGGGGCAGAAAAGCCACAGGCACACGCAGATGTGAAAGTTCCTCATCCTGGGAGCTGAGTGAGCAGTCCCCTGCTGTGGGGATGGGCCATGGGACGTGGAATATTCTTTGTTAAAAAATATTTTTTTCCATATTTCCCATATTTCTCCCTCAGTGATATACCTCCTTCAGTGATACACCTCCTACATGAGGAATTTAACTGTCAAAAGTCTTTTTCTTGTCCCAGGAATTACTCACAACATGGTGAAGCCTCATTATCTGATCCCAGCTCTCCTGAGGTCGTCCAAATCTGGCCCAAGTCCCAGGAGACCCATGGGAGTCTGAGGTGCAGGAGGGGTGGTCAGTCACCAGCCCTGAGCAAAGCAGTGGGAATTACAGCAGTGCTGTTTTCCAAATGCTGCAAGTTCACAGTGAGTGGGATTCATTTCTGCCTTAGTTCTTTTCTGTTAGTGGAAACAGTTTCTTCATTACTA